TGACCACCACCCTAAAAATGGCCTAGAAAACACATCAGGGAATTATAGGTCATTTTTAGGCCATCCGCTACGGTGGCCTAGAGCCTAGAAAGCAATTTTTCTTCATTTTCAGGTTCTCGTCGACGCGTTACCGTACCTCGACACGGAATACAATGAGACGGACCGACAGCTCGCGAGGAATCTTGTTGAGCACGAGTGCAAGGTAGGGAAGGTCCCATAACTACAGTAACCCGGAGAAAATAACAGAAAAACGGAAAGTTTAACATATATTTTAGGTTACGGTAGTTGTTGTTGTGAAAATCGTTAAAATGGGTCATTTTTCGCTGAAAATGGTTCAAAAATAGCTAAAAATAGTTAAAATTTACCTAGCATGGTCCAGAAACAACTGAAATTGGGTTAGTTTTAGCGGAAAATTGTCACAAAACTTTAAAAATTCGGGAATTTTTCTCTGAAAATGATCTAAAAATAGCTAAATTGTTAAAATCAACCTAAAATGGTCAAAAAACGGCTTAAATTCGGGCATTTTGAGCTGAAAATGGTTCAAAACCTGCTGAAAATCGTTGAAATTGGCCTAAAGTGGTAAAAAAAAGGTAAATTAACGGTAAATTAAGCTGAAAACGGTAAAAATATCTCGAAAATCCCTAAAAACCAGAATAAACAACAATTCTCAGTTTTCTGAAATTCTGAAAATCCGAAAAAAATTCCGTTTTTCAATTTTTTGGCACTTTTCAGCCAGTTTTGAAGCTGATAATTCAGTCAAAAAGCCCTAAAACTCAGGATTTTTTTTTAAAATTTCGGGGGTTTTTCGAATTATCACTAATAATGATAATTTATCAGCATTCAAAGAAAAGCTACTAAAAAATTGCAGACATTCCGCCCGACGAAAAACTATCTGACCCATCTGCCAGTGCCGGATTATGATGCATTCCTGACGCCTTGCATGCTCAAAGAAATGAGTCGAATGAAGAAAAAAGAGGAGATGGGAAAGTTGGATATGAGCCGGTGCGAACTACCACCACCGTCCGCTGTCAAGGGTGTGGATAGAAAGTTGTGGGCCAAGGTAAGAGGATTGGAGCTTAAATAGTTGGTTTTTGAGCTCAGAAAGGCTGAAAATCGGCTGGAAATTCAATTTTTGAGCCCAGAAATTTGGGGTTTTTAGCCTGAAAAATGGTAATTTTCAAGCATAAATTTGCATTTTAGGAGACTGAGAATCGAATTTTAAAGATTGGAAGTCTGAAATTTTGATTTTTGAGCTAAAAACTATATTTTTAGGATCAAAAATGGGATTTTTAGCCTTGAAACCCGACGTTTTTTTTTTCATTTTTTTTTCGAGTCTAAAATTGCAATTTTGAGTTTTGGAAATTGGATTTTTATAGCCTTGAAGCACGATTTTAGGCTCAGAATATACAAATTTTCAGCAAGGAAATGTGATAGTTGAGCTATAAAAGTGGTCATTTTTGAGCATAAATGTGCAGTTCAGCAACTTGAAAACGGGATTTCGTGCTGTAAAATACGATTTTTAGCCATTTTTGCGCGTAAATTCGCATTTTGGAGCATGAAAATGGGGATCTGGAGTCTTAATTAGCTGTTTTTTGAGACGAAACGCGCAATTTTGAGCTTCAAAAAACCAGATTTTTAGAGCTGGAGTACCATTTTTAAGCTTCGAAAAATCAGATTTTTTAGCTAATTGTAAGTAAATGCAACTTTAAAATAAGGTTTTTGACCTTGAAATTTGCAATTTTTGAGCTTTTTAATGGCATTTTCTAATCTAAACATGGACCTTGTGAGCCCGATTTTGAGCTTTGAAATGTGAATTTTATGGCTAAAAATCTGCGCTTGGGCCGAAAATTGCAAATTTAACCCTAAAAATGGAATTTTTAGCTTTCAAATTCGATTTTAGAGCTGAGCAATTGCCTTTAAAATGATATTTAAGCTGTAGAAATGGCTTTTTAGAGCGTAAATTTGCAATTTAGGAGCCTCAAAGTTGGATTTTCGAGCTTGGGATTCTGTAAAAAGTGGATTCCGAACTCTGAAAATCTCCGCTTTTCGAGCCAAATTGGTAACTTTTTGTATGGAAATATGATTTTTGAGGTTTCGAATGCCATCATTTCAGCCTGAAAGTGGGATATTTAGGCATTTTCAGGCTATTTTAGGCCATTTTAGGCCTTCTCTGGTCATTTTTTATAAATTTTGAATGATTTTAGGCCCTTATGAGGGCATTTTAGGCTCATTGAATATTTTTTAGGAGCCTGAAAACGGGATTTCGAGCTTACAAGTGAAATTTTGAGCTGTAAAATATCAGACTTGCAGCCATAAAATACAATTTTTAGCCATAGAAAATGCTATTTTGAGCTCAAAAGTGTGTGTTTGAGCTGTACAAATTGTGGTTTATAGTCTTAAAACTCGACTTTAAAGTCTAGAAAGTCTGAAAGTGTGGTTTTTGAGCACAAATTCTGAATTTAGCAACCTGAAAAATGGATTTTTTCTGTCTTAAAATTTGCTTCTTGAGCTGTAAAAATTTGGATTTTTGTTGGCATTCAAGTCTAGATTTTCGCCTAAAAATGAAGGTTTTTTGCCTTAAAGTAAAGAAATTAGCGCTGGAAGTTTGCTGGAAATTCTGAAAATCCGCGCTTCACCAGCCAAAATTCGCAATTTCGACTCAAAAAATAGGTTTTCAGCTTGTAAAATTGGGAGTTTAGCCTAGAAATACGATTTTTCAGCCTGAAAATTGCATATTTGAGCTCTGGATGGTTGTTTTTGAGCATTAATTTCCAATCTAGGTGTATGGAAATTGGGTTTTTGAGTGAAAAATGCAACTTTTTAGATCAGGAACACAATTTCAAGCCTTGCAGCACTCTTTTCGAGGCTAAAATCGCGATTTCAAGTCACAAAACCTATTCTATATCCATTTTGCAGGTGCTCCGCAACGCGAAGGCTCAAAACGAGCACCTGATGTTGCGTCAAATCAATCTGGAGCTGATGGATGAGTACGCGGCAGAGAACTATCTTCAACGGAACAAAGCAATGGAGCAGATACTGACGGAGGCGGAGAAGGAGCTTCGGAGCACCAGAGACGCGATTATGGAAATCCACGCGAGCCGGAAAATGGCTCAGTTGAAGGCGGGCGACAAAGTGAAACAGTTGGAGCAGTCGTGGGTCTCAATGGTCACCAATAATTATAAGTACGGTATTTTTAAATTACTGTACTTGTATTGATTACCGTAGTAGGGTTACTGTAGTAGCCAGAAGTCTTGGGATACTGTATTCAGAGTACTGTGAGACTGTTTGACAATCATGCAGTATATTGTATTGGGGTTACTGCAGGATTACTATGGAATTCTAAAATTTTTGGATCTTGAAATTCTAAAAATTCTGATATTCTAAAATACTAAATTTTCGAAATTCTAAAATTCAGAAAATTCTAGAATTCCAAAATTCTAAGATTCTGAAATTCTTGAAATTTGAAGATTGTAATTGGCCAATTTGAGGTTTCCGTTTGGCGATTGGAGAGCTACAGTAATCCTTGAGGAATTTCAGATTTTTAGAATCTTAGAATCGTAGAAGGCTTGAAATTGTCCAAAATCGACTATTAACGAGCTGAAAAAGTGAAAAATCGGCTGAAAATAATCTATAATAGGTTTAAATGGCCTAATCATGACCTAGGATTGACTAGGAAAGCCCTAAACTGTCCTAAAAGGAGCCTAAAATCATTCATAATCCATTAAATATGGCCTGACAATGGCCTAAAATCATTCGAAAGCCGTAAAAAATGGCCTAAGATTGACAAGGAAAGGCCTAAAATGGCCTAAAATAGTTTAAACTGGGTTTATATACCCTAAAAATGACCTAGATAAGCCCAAAAATCACCTAAAAATGGCCTACATTCATCCAAAATCTATAAAAAATGGCCTTAAAATAGCCTAAAATGGCCTAGGATTGACCAGGAAAGACCTAAAATGACTCAAAATAGCCAAAAATTGGCTTAGACCAGCCTATAAATGGGTCTAAAATGCCCTAAAATTATCCAAAAGCCATGACAAATAACCTAAAAATGGCCTAAGATTGACCAGGAAAGGCCTAGAATGGCCTAAACCAGCCTGAAAGAGACCGAAAACTATTCTGAAATACTAAAATTCTGAAAATTCCAAGATTCTATATTTTGTTTACTGTAGTTTTTTGTGAATTACTGTACTTGTGTTGGTTACTGTAGTAGGGTTACTGTAGCAGCCGGAAGCCTGGGATTACTGTATTCGGGCTACTGTAAGACTATTTGACAATCATGTGAATTCGGAAATTCTAAAATTCGAAAATTCAAAAATTCTAGAAATTCGAAAATTCGAAAAAATGCCTAAATTCAAAAATTCCAGAATGGAATTGGAGAATCGCCAAATGGAAAGCGACAATGCGAAACAGATCAAACGGCTGAAGCTGGATCCGGCAAAGTTGGAGGACAAGGAGGACCTCGAGAACTAATTTATTTCCTTTTTTATTCTAATTTTTCCCATTTTTCCCCCAAACTCTGATACTCTTTTTCTCCGTTTTTTTATAAATCTTTTGATCAAAAATACTGTGAAAATGCAACTTTTCTATTTTTTTTTTCGAAATTTCAATTTTTCTTCTCATAAAAGATTTTTTTGGTACAAATAAAATGCAAATTTTATGCAGAACTCGGCCTATATAAATATAAGAAATCGCTCCTGGTTTTGTATCAGTTTTTTCTGCTTTTCTTTCTTGGCTGAAAAAAAAAACCCCTCTCTGATTTAAGTCCGGACACCATTGCCGCCCTTCAAGAAGTCAAGGATCTCAACGTTGAAGGATTCTACACCGCTCTTCGAGACCTCTACCTGGCTGATGGATTTTCAACAAAAAGTACCATGAACAAAGTGATTTTGACTCAAAGTATCATTCCCGATTTTCAATTCCAAGGAGCAATTCAAGCTTTGAATAACACCCAATATGAAATCAAAAATGGAGATTATGGATTGAGAAGAATGAAAGGAATGATTAAACTAAACGAACCGGATGCTCTAACCCATCAGAATTGGCTTATCGATCTTGTTTCAATGATTCTGGAACAATCTGAATATTCCAAACAATTGGTCAGCTTTATTAGAGGTCTTGGAACTACTCTAATGGAGAACGGATACTCCAGAGAGACCTATTTCAATGGAACTATGCTCCGAGCTGAGATAAACAAAATTTGGAACTTGAATGAGACTTTAAAGGAGCGTTATATCGAGCCATTGGTCCTCCTGCATCATGTAGTGGGTCCAGAGAATTTTGACCTACTTGGAGATGTTCTGGAAGCCCAACCATGGTTAACTAGAGGAGGAATGCTCCTCAGAGATGTGGAATACTTCAGAATGTACCAGGATCGGATAATGGAAGCAATTTCGAATTCGGATATTGGGATTACTGTATTGAGCGGATTTCAAAAAGCTTATGAGGATATGTTCAATACTACTGGTGCTCCAGATACGCTGTTGAATCGATTGGTAATTTTTAGCATGAAGGATTCAACGATTTATGATGGCGGTGATGACAAATCTCCAGAGTATACAGCTGTGTGGAACGAAATCTGGGGAGAAATCAGTAGGAAATTAGGAAGGGCTCAACTGAGTCAAATCCAGTACATGTTCGTTGATGCCGTGAAAAAGGCGATGGACGAAACGGAAGCCTCGACAATCGGAGGGATGAATGGTCTTAAAAATACGTTTATTGCTGGAGCGAGATTGATTCAATCTTGGAGGGTTCGTTTTGAAATTCTGAAATTCTGAAATTAAAAATTCCAAAAATTAAAAATTTCCGAAACATTTTTAACTTCCAGAAAATTTTAAAATTCCAAAACTCGTAGGGTTACTGTATTTTGGTTACTAAAAACAAAAATAGTTGCTGTAGTTTTGATACTGTAGCTACATTCAGAAGCCTGAGATTACTGTATTTGTGGTATTGTACGTTTAAAAGAGTTTGAAATTCAAAATTTTTGAAATGTATGAAATTTCGAAAATCCTGGAAGAGAAGATTAGCAATATTGTACTTTTATTGATTACTGTAACTTTTGTACAGGACTGTAGTTTGGTTACTGTAGTTGAGATGTGGTTTAAGTGAACTATGCTACCGTCATAGTATCGGATAACTGCTTCATTCTGGAGTACTGTAGGTATGAAATTACTGTAGTTTGTGGCTAAGTACTGTGGTTGTATTGGCTACTGCAGTCTGGTTACTATAGTCGCTGTAGACAAATCTTGGGATTACTGTATTAGTGAAACTGTAAGACTGTTTTACACTAATGCGGATTACTGTAGTCTAAAATTCTAAAATTCTAAGAATTTGTGAAATTAAATACTGTAGTTTTGTATTTTGGATTACTGTAGTTCGGTCACTGTATTCGTGATCAGGTACTGTAGTTACTCTAGTTTCTTGTGGAGTACTGTGGTTGTCGATGACTGTACTTTATTGGTCGTTGTTGTAGGGTTATTGTAGCAGCCAAAAGCCTGGGATTGCTGTATTCTTAGTACTGTAAGACTGTTGTTTACTGTAGTTTGGTTACTGTAGAATGGTTTTTAAAAAATATGATCTGAATATAAACTTTCTAGAAAAATGTTTTTGGAAATTTTTAGTTTTTTATTTTGGGATTTTTTGAAAATTTCAACATTTCGTTTTCTAAAGTTCCAAATTTTCTATTCTAAAATTTCAGGTCCGTTGCAAATGCCAATTCTAAATGCCAAGAAGCCCTGAACATGTACTCTGAAGATGAAATAGCCTACAACAATCTCCAAAGAGCTCTTCAAATCGTTTTAAAACTGAGCAATACTGGTGATAATGGGAGAGAAGGCTACAAGGAATTGTTTGACTTGTATTTCGAGAAACCTGCTCCAACCATTCAACTTTTTTCACCATCTCGGTTTGAGAGTGCTACTACTATGAATGCATTGTTCGCCAGCGTACAAGAGGCGGATCCCAATGGATTGCTCATCCCTGTTCAATTGATGGCTAAACAGAAAACTGATCTTCAGAAGTTTGCTAATAACCTCAACACGCTTTCGGAGGATTCAACATTGGTGGAGACATTTAATTTGATTTTTGGAGTCCACCCAACCAGTTTCGAGGAAGCCCAAAAACTCAGATCAGCCCTTCAAAGCATCGGATCCATTTCCAGGAGTGATAGGGATCTTTTGGCGTACCTCCGATCGATTCGGGAGATTTTAAGAACTAACAAAGAAAAAGGTTCTAAGAACTCTGAGGATTTCTTTAATACTCTCTCTAAACTCTCGAATACTACAAGAAATGGATCTTGGATGGATGTCCATGAAGCACTTGCCCTTATCGATTCGATTTACCGAGCAGGACCTCCAGAGAGCCGCGGGCCCCGACTTGCTCCATTCAGAGAACTCGAAAGGACTCTTGGAACAGATGGAACGTACCGGGAAGTCTTTCTGGCTCTGCAAACCATCCTAGAGGATCCTGAAACTTCTAAAGCCAAATGTCAATTCATTAAGGACTTTTTCACTGGAATAGATGACGTTACTTCGGTTGTGGAGGCGTTTGGAGTAAAAACCGAGGACATCAGAAGAAATGTGGAGGATACGGTATTTGTGGATGCTCTGATCCGATTGCTCGAAGCATCAGAATCCCGGGAAGCTCTTGGTAGAATGATTGCATTCCACACGAAACACACGGTCGACCAAGATTATCCTGCACAATCGATCTTCAGGATTGAGGATCTGTTGGGGTATATGGCAAACAATGAATGGAGATGAGGTGAGCCAGAGCGCGTTTGCAAAACTGACCTTGTTTTGCCTATTTTTAGTTGCAAATCGTGAAGTTTGAAGCCCTACGAAAGCGATCCAGGTATTTTCCGATTTGCTTGAAAATTTTGCAGTATACTAAACAAAAATAGAGGTTCATTTTTATAGTTGACACCTTTTGCTAGCTACCGTAGTTTCTGAGATATGCGCCTTTAAAGATTATGCACGCTTTCACAGCTGGGAACAACCTGCGACGAGGGGGAGACGCTCTATTTTAAAGGCGCATAGCTCAAAAACTACGGTAGCTAGAAAAAAGTTGTCAATTAAAAAATTGAAGTTCTATTTTTGTTTAGTATACTGCAAAATTTTCAAGCAAATCGGAAAATTCTGGATCGCTTTTGTAGGGCTTCAAACTTCACGATTTTCAACTAAAAATAGGCAAAAAAAGGCCGATATTTATAAAAAAATTTGGCCAAAAGTGTATTTTTTCAGAAACTCGACATGGTCGCATGATATTTCTGTTGACTTCTACCTTTTCATTTTTATTTTTTATATTTAATAAACATTTTATTGCAAAACTGGAATTCATGATCTTACTAGAATCAAGTACTGAGATTTTCAGAAATTCTGAAAAAAAATCGAAAAATTATAAACCAGAATTTCGATTTTCAGAACTTTGAGAAACTTCAAAAAAATTGAAGTTTCCCTTTTTTACTCCATAGTCACAAATCCAAATATTCTGAACAATCCAGAATTTTCAGTGGATTTGGAGATTTCGAAAAGAATTTAAGGATTTTTTTTTGAATTTTTTAACTCCCACGAATTTCAGATATAAAAAAAACAGTTATTTTAAAAACGGAAAATCAGAATTTTCAGGTTTCAGAATTCCAGAACTTTGGAATATTCTAATCTGAAAATTCCAAAGATATCTGGGAACCTAAAAACCCTCACGTTCTTCCGAAATTCTCAAAAAATTTCTTGACCTTTTAAAAACGTGAAATCCCAAAAACCTTTTTTTTTTGGAAAGTCAGCGCCACGATTTTCCATAAAAGCCACAAAACTTGGCTGTTTCCGATTATTCCACTACTTTTCGAAGCTAATCAAAAATCGAATAGTGGCTATATCAACAAATAATGAGTAAGTTTTAAAAGAAAATTCTGGAAAAGATTGCTGAACTTTTCAGACATGCGCATCTTGTTCATATTGGTGTTCGTATCCTATGGATTCTCCAGGTTTTCTCGAGATACCAGTGGTAAGTCTTTTTGGTTTTTTTTTAAAGTTTATAATTTTTCATTTTTCAGATACTAATCTGAAACTCTCAGTGGATCGTATGGAAAAAATCGCAAGAATCACATATGGAATTTATGTTCAAAAAGGATTAACCGACGGTGAAATTTCCATTGACGAGATTTTTAAAATCAAGAACCTGAATCAAGTTTTCGAAGATTCTGGAGCCCTGAAAAACGAATTGAAATCTCTGGTTACTGTATCCCAATCGCTGAGAAAAAGTCCAGATATCGAGAAGAATCAGCAATATTTCCTGGCTCTGGAAGCTATTCGAAAGAAAGTTGATGGATTGGGTGATGTGGAAAAGTGGGCGGAGTCTGGAGAGATTCAGAAGATAACCCAGAATTTGAAAGACAAGGAAATTGATCTTCCGAAGGTTGAGAAGTTCTTGGAATATTGTGGAAAATTGGATGAGGCATTCGTATTTCTAACGGATAGGAAGAATTTGGATAACGCTGCGGATAAAGGTTTTGCCTCCTTACACTTTTCGGTTTTAAAAGACGAAGGAACATTGTTGGCTTCTGAAATCAAGATTCTGAATTCCGATCATCCAGACGTCAAGACGGTTTTTGATATCAAAAGTGTCAAGGATCCATTATCAGTGATTTTCCAAGCGACTGTGCTGCCAAAGAATTTGATAAACAATCCGGCTCGTTGACTACAAAATCTGAAGCTAAAGAGAAGAATTTCCAGAACTTCCAAGACATTTTTACGTATTCAAAAAAATCGAACAAAAATATCCAAGGATTGAAATCAGTTGAAGATTTCATGACGTCATCTGGAAACATTCCGAATCAAGCAACATTTGAAAAAGTGTTTGAAGACTTGAATGATCCTTGGCTCAAATCTGTTATCGAATCTCCTAATTTTTCAAAATCGCTGGAAAATTTGAAACTCTTTGAAGCTCATTCGCTGAAAAAAATTCGAGCCAATTTGAAAGGATCCGGAGGTCAAAAAGTTCCAATTATCGATCTACTTTTGACAATTGATTACAATCCAACGGAAGCTGAAACTGTGGCGAAAGAATTCAAAAATTGCCTAGAAAAAATTCCAAGAACAGCGATATCAACAACTGATATGGATTCGTTAAAAGCGAGTTGCCAAAACATGGAAAAATCAGTCGATGGCTTGAAGTCCATATTGGAAGCTCTTATGGAAATTTCAAAGGACCCGGAATTCCAACAAATGCTATCCGATGTCATTGGATTTGCTGAATCAAGTGTTGGTGACTTGCAAGGTGCCTTTGACAAGTTCAAAAGCTATCAGGATTACGGTAAATTCAATCAAAAAGTTTTAAAGATCAAAAGTCTGGTTGAGAAGATCAAAAATCTAAAGTCCGAGTTGAAGATCCACGCTTTAGCTGTTCATGATAATGTAGGCAAAGTTGTCGATTTTCAAAATAGCTACAAGTCATTATCCGAAGGATTTGGATGCTTGAAAAATGTCAAAAATTCTGGAAATCTCATTGGGATGATTGATCTGACTAGAAATATGGGAAAACTGAGTTCGAGCTCTTTGGATCCCTTGGAGAAGTATATTGAGAAGATTGAAAAAATCTCTCCAGATCTAAAGAAACTCCAAAACGACATGAACTCTCTCAAAGGAAAGGGATCGGATGGTTTGGATCTTTTGAAGGATCGGAAGACTCATTCGGAAGTGATTCAAATGGCCACCCATGGAATCGGTGCAATGAAGACTGCAATTGAAAAGAAGGCGGAGATTCAAAAGATGGTTCCAGAACTGAAATTGGTTGATGATCTAAAGAAAACTTCAAAATCCTTGGATCAAAAAGATTTGGATAATTTGGACTCCTTGGTCATGATGGAAGCCTCTCTTGATGAAATGTATCAGGGCTTGGAATCTTGGAAATTGTCTCTCAAAAATCCAGAATCCACGAATCTAATCGATCATCATGAGATTTTTGTCAAAGCCAAAGCTGTTTCTGGATTGTCTTTGGATCTTTTGGAAATTGGAACTTCGTTGGAAAAGTTGATCGGGGAAACGACGGATACTCAGAAGAAAGCCAAATTGGAGGAGGTTCTGAAAATGTTTGATGAGATGGCATTCGTTGGAATGGAGTTTTCAAGGTATTCCAAAAGTTTCGATGATTCTAAGAAGACGTTGACAGCACTGGACACTTTCTTTGCTAGTTTTGCCAAGAATCCGTCTGGATCTTCTGGTTCTTCTGCTTTTTCAACAAAGAATCCACCTGGATCTTCTGGTTCTTCTGCTTTTTCAACAAAGAATCCACCTGGATCTTCTGGTTCTTCTGCTTTTTCAACAAAGAATCCACCTGGATCTTCTGGTTCTTCTGCTTTTTCAACAACACAAATTTCGGCTCAATCTTCAGAGTGAGTTTTTCAGAAGGTTTAAAAACTCCAAAATTCCTAAAACTCTGAAATTAAAAAAAAATTAAAATTTTTTAAAATTCTGAAATTCGAAAAAATCGTGTTAAATCAAATTTTAAAATTTTTGTAAATTCAGAATCTCTGAAATACGAAAAATCCAAAAAAGGTTGAATGAAATTTTGAAAACTTAAAAATTAAATTCTGGATTGTTCTGAATTTTAGAAATTTTTGAATTTTTCAGGCTTTTTTTTTAATTTCTCAGACTTTTTTTAAATTTCAGCTACACCCACCTGATCATCGGAATTGCTCTCGCACTTCTATTTCTCATAGCTATAGTTCTCGGCTATATTTTTGGATACCCGAAGTTTAAAAAATTCATGGAGGAAAGGAAAAAGAGGAAACAAAGAAGAAAGGATGCAATCGCACCGGTCTCCCGAGATGGCGTCACCTTTGTACCAGAAGAAGCACCTGCAGTTCAACCTTCAACTCTACCAGAAAAAGAAGCTGAAAAAGAACCCTCACTCAACCCTCCACCCGCAGAGTTACTTCTGGACAAAACTCAATCGGATCACAATTCTAAAAAATCAAAAAAAGATGAAAAGGAGACAAAAGTGGGATCCAAGAAAGATGCTCCAGCGGAGAAAACTCAAGATGGTGAAGGTATTTTTATAGTTGTTTTTTTGATCTTTGACCTTAAAAATATTTCAGCAAGGTGTAAAATTAATGTTTCTCGCGACCTAATTAGCTGGTTGTGCGATACTATATTTGAGAAGCTGAGAAAGACGAAAGAGGTGAAAATTAAGGAAGCAAGTAAGAAGGAAAAAGCGATTGGCGAGAAAACCAAGATAGTTGGAAATGTCTATACGTTTTATTGGGAATTCGTCTCTTTGTGTTTTGCATATCTCTACATGAACAATACATCCGAATCGTTTTTCGGTGGAAATACTGATGGAAGGTTAGTTTTTGACAATTGTTTTTTTTTAGTTACCGTAGTTTTGGCGTCATGCGCCTTTAAATTTAGAATAGGAGTCTCAAGAAGTGCTTATTTTGAGTACGGGAAGTGTTTGGGGTTTTTTTTCGGTTCGAGAGTTAACATATTTACGCTATGGTTTCGAGTGAAAGATATGCACCTTTTTTTAGTTAGGGGTCTTAACGGAAGAGACGCAGGAAAGCATGAGTTTTAAAGGCGCATATCTCAAAAACTACTAACTAGAAAAAAGTTGTTAACATTAAAAATAAAAACAAAATCAGACCTTCATTTTTGTAATTTGCAATTTTAGCTAGCTTCCGTAGTTTTTGAGTTATGCGCCTTTAAAGTCGGGACACCTCCGAACATTTCTCAGCTAGAAGCATTGACAATCTTTAAAAGTGCATATTTCCAAAAGTAGGCTCAAAAAAAAAAAGTAAAAATCGAAAATTTTAGTGGCACCCCTCAACTCATAGCCCCCCGTTTTCCTTCTTTAAAAAAATCTAAAGGGCTCAAGATCTTTGTAAAAATTGATTTCTTTCAGAACAAAGTACGAAATTGAACCAAGAACACAGTTCGAAATAAAATACTGGGTTCAGAAACCGAATGGAAAGAGAAGAAAGTGGGTACAAAAAACACAACAAATGGATGCAAACACAGTGACATTTCCCAATAAGCTCCAATTCATTCTTGGAAAATCTCCAACGACCGAAGAGGAAGCATATTGGTTTTGGGTTATGATTAAGGAGTCAAAAACTAAAGAAGTGTTCATGATGAGTGGTTTCGAAGAAGATGGCAAGAATATGTGTTACGAGTATATTCCACTGGAAAAGGGACATATAAAGACATTCAAGAAAGACAATCAAGTGTATACAATCGAATGCAAAGAATACAAAGAAGTAGGAGGTGGACAGGTTGTGAGAAGACAGTTGGAAGTCACATACGAGTGAGATTTTAATTTTTTGGGAATTTTTTTTCAAAGGGAGACTCCGTCCAAAAATTATTTTATTTTGTTGCATCAAAATGTGTATGTAGATTCATATAGTAACAAAAAAAATTTGATTTTTCAACTTCTGAAAAGTTCTCGAATCGTTTTTTGAATTCCCGCAAATACTGAAAATTCTAGGCCACTTCAGCTTTGGAGGGAATTAAAAGAAAAGTCAATAACTGTCCGGAAGTTTCCAGAAAGGGCGAGAAAAGAACTTTAGCCTTTTTGAAATTTTAGAATTTTAGAATTTTAGAATTTTAGAATTTTAGAATTTTAGAATTTTAGAATTTTAGAATTTTAGAATTTTAGAATTTTAGAATTTTAGAATTTTAGAATTTTAGAATTTTAGAATTTTAGAATTTTAGAATTTTAGAATTTTAGAATTTTAGAATTTTAGAATTTTAGAATTTTAGAATTTTAGAATTTTAGAATTTTAGAATTTTAGAATTTTAGAATTTTAGAATTTTAGAATTTTAGAATTTTAGAATTTTAGAATTTTAGAATTGATCTACATATTTTGATGAATGAAAAAACTTCTGGTCAGAGTCCCCTTTTGAAAATAAAGAAAAAACTGTTTGAATGAGGAAAAATTTTGAAACCTTCGATTTCCAGAAAAGATTCCCCGAAATTGATAATTGAACATGTCCAATATATCAAAGCAAAAGATCTGAAATCGTTATCCGAAAGTCCGATGAATCCGGCTATCGTGGCGAAATTGGTTCGAATGGCAAGAATCAATAAGGAGCCAGTGATTGTTCATTGTCAGGATGGTGTCAATAGATCCGGAGCGTTTGCTTGTGAGTTATTTCAAAATAGCGAATAATCTGAATATTCGAAACTTTTTTCTTTTCAAACTTCTGAAAAACTTCTTTCTTAAGAAACTTCTGAAACCCAAAAAAACCAAATTCTCAAAAATTCAAAAAATTGAAACTTCGAAAAGTTTCCAGATATCGAATGGTTGATCCAAAGGTTCGGAAATAAACCTAATAAAGATATCGATTTTGTCCAAGAGCTTTTTTCGTTGAGAGCGATGAAGAAACACGCCGTCAGCAACGATATTCTCTTCGGATTTTCGATTATTGCATTTCTGGCTTTTCTTTATGGTGTAAGTTTTTTTTTTAGTTGGATATATATACATTCAAATTTTCATTTTCGCAGTTGAAAATTGTTTTTAGCTACCGTAGTTTTTGAGATATGCGCCTTTAAAGATTGAGCGCTTCTCTGAACTTGCATTTATAGACGACTTGTTTTTCAAGGCGCATAACTCGAAAACTACGGTAGCTAGAAAAAAGTTGTTTTGAATGAAAATAGAGAACCAAAATAGAGCTTCAGTGTCACAGTTGACACATATTTTCTAACTACCGTAGGTTTTGAGGGATGCGTTTTTAAAGATTGCACACGATCCTTACAGAAAGAACGTAAGAGAAGTCGCAACTTTGAAAGCGCGTATCTCAAAAACTACAGCAGCTAGAGGAAAGTTGTAAACTACAAAAATAAAGCTAAATTTTGGTTTTTTTTTTGCTGTAGTTAACAGTTTTTTCCAGCTGCCATAATTGTTAAAGATTGCGCACTCTTCTAGCGTCGAAGGTGTGCCAACTTTAAAATCGCATAATTCGAAAACTTCGACAGATAAAAAACATTGTAGACAACAAAAACAAAGTTCTGAATATTTTCAATTTCATTGAAAATGTTTAATCTGAAATTATACTATTCCAGGACGCCACATGTGAACTAATTGAGAAGCTGAAGATCGAGTATCATCTTCGCTTTAATTGGAAACGGGACAACGACTTCAAAGATGAAACCCAAGATGAAATAATGCAAATGGACCAGAAATGGATTGCTGATAAAGAAGATCTTGATTATGAAAGACAAGAACAGCAAAAGAGACTGGAAAAACTTCAAAAACTTAAGAAAGAAAACAAAAAAAACGTTCCAATTTTTTAATTACCCCCAATTATCTTTTCCCGATTTTTACATTTTTCTACTAATAATTATTTTCGTAGAAAATAAAATTTTCTTACTCATCCTCTAATTATCTAACCTGGCTATCCTAATTAGAATACAATTATCAATGTATCTGTGTTTTGTGTGTTCGTATTGTATTCCTTTTCTCTTTTTTCTCTTTTTCCACGACGGAAGGTCGTAATCAATAAATAAATAAATTAATTAATTAATTAATTACCCAAAAAATTGGACCCCAGCAGGATTATTCATCCTCCTCCCACATATTGAATTCTTCGAAATTTATGTGAAGAAAATTCTGGAAATTTTTAATTGATGTGGAAATTCTAATTACATTAATCCAAACTACAGTAATCCAACACTAATCAGAATATATATATATTTTGAAAATTTGAGAACATCTTGAACGTTTTAAAGGTATTTTTGAAATTCTTGAATGTGCCCAAACTCACATTGAGATTTTTGAGAAATCTAACTTTGAAGCTTTGAGAACAAATGTTTGGCATAATTGGATTCTTTAGAACACCTTGGAGAATACTGAACAAACTAGAGCTCCATTTTTGTAGTAACTTTTTCTTAGCTACTGTAGTACTTGAGGTATGCGCCTTTAAAGATTGCGCACGCTCCGAGTGGAAAAAAGTAAAGGGTGTCCCAACTTTAAGGTGGCATATCTCGAAAACTACGGTAACTAAAAAAAAGTTGTTAACTATGAAAATGAAGCTCTATTTCTGTTTATTGTTTTTGTAGTTGACAACTTCTTACTAGCTACTGTAGTTTTTGAGATATGCGCCTTTAAAGATTGCGAGCCCTCCTAGAGGAAAGAAGTAAGGGGTGTCCCAACTTTAAAGGCGCAAATTTCGAAAACTACGGTAGCTATAAAAAAGTTGTAATACGGTAGCTATAAAAAAGACGAAATTGAAGGTCTATTTATTTCCTGTACATTGTGACGTATTAAAAGCCATCTGAAAGGACTGAGACGCTATTACATAGGCTTACATTAATCCAAAAAATTTTTTTTTCCAGAGTCGATTACTCAATTGAAGAAAGTACACAGGTATTTGTAACACGCAATTACCCAATGGATGCAAACATAGTGAAATTCCCCAATTCGCTTGAATTCATTCTTGGCAAAAATCCAACGAATAAGGAAGAGACTCGGGTTTTTTGGCATATGATTAAGGATTTATTAACGGAACAAATGTTTATGGCGAGCGGTTTCGAGGAAGGAGGCAAGACAGTTTGTTACAAATACATTCCGTTGAAGGAGGGAGAAATTGTTAGAGTTGGTTCCTTTGAAATCAAATGCACAGAATACAAAGAATTTGCAAATGGGCAGGTTGTGAGAAGAAAGCTGGAAGTGAAATACAGGTGAGATTTTGTAATTTTTCGTTTAAATTTTCAGAAATTTTCAGTGATCTGAATCCCGAAAAAGAGGTCTCATTCACAGTTGAACACGTCCAATACGCAAAGTCAACAGATGGTGATTTATCCGAATGTCCGATGAATCCGAAGATCTTTTCGAATCTCGTTAGAATCGCCAGAAAAAATAAGAAGCCAGTGATTATTCATTGTCGCGATGGTGTCAATAGATCCGGAGCGTTTGCTTGTGAGTTTTCAAAATTGCGAATTCGAAAACTCAAAAAATTCGAAGAAAACCCCCAAATTTCGTAATTTGAAAGTTACGAAAAAATAATAAAATTCAAAATTTCAAAACTTTAAAAAAACTGTGAAAGTTTGCAGATGTCGAGTGGTTGATTCAGAAGTTTGGGAAAAAAACTGAGGAAGGGAAGAAGATGGAGGATATCGATTTTGTCGATGAACTTCAGTCGTTGAGAAAAATGACTTCCAGTTAAAACGAAGATTGTACTCGATCTTCAGCTTCTCAATTAGTTCACACGTGGCGTTCTGGAATAGTATACTATTAAATCTTCATTTTTGTAGTTGACAACTTTTTCCTAGCTACCGTAGCTTTTGAGCTATGCGCCTTCAAAGTTTGCGCACGCTCCTAGCTAGAGATGTCCCACCTTTAAAGGCGCACATCTCAAAAACTACGGTAGCTAGAAAAAAGTTGTCAACTGTTGAAATAAAGATTAATTGTTTTTGTTATTTTCATTGTTGACAACTTTCTTCTAACTTTCGTAGTTTTTGAGATATGCGCCTTTGAAATGTATGCGTATCGGCGTCTTTCTTTTTCGGCTAGGTGTGTGCACAATCTTTAAAGGCTTATAACTTCAAAACTACAGTAGCTAGAAAATAGTTGTAAACTACAAAAATGAAACTCTACTTTGGTTTTCCATTTTGGTAATTATAAACTATTCTCTAGCTACCCTAGTTTTTGAGATTTGCGCCTTTAAAAGGCCAGATTCGAACTGACCCCATAAAGAAAAGTCAAAACTGAAAGAATCGAAAATCCGAAGAGAAGCTCATTGCTGACGGCGTGTTTCTTAAAAAAACCACATTAAAAGAGGAAACCGAAACCATAGACGACATAAGGGAAATTGACGCTCAATGGAAAAAGGATAAAGATGAGATTGATGCGAAAAGGAAAACAGAGCAAACGGAATTGGAGAAAGTGTTGGCTAAACGTCGGAAAGAGATGGAGAAGGAAGGGTGGATTTATAGCGAAAAGGGATACACCAGACATAGAAACACCGGAAAACAAGGCGAATGGTATCAAGAAGACGATGACGGGGATATTCGTGATTTATTTGAATATGGAAACGCCGAATTGATTGGGAAATGGATGCAAATGAATAAATGATTGTGTTGTTGTTGTTGTTTTTTTTTCGTTGTTGGAATTTTCGAAGATTATAGGATTCGAATTTCGAAACTTCAGAAACTCAAAAATTATTTTTCAAACTATTCATGACGTTTTTTTGTCGTCGCTCGGGTTTGCAACCGTGTCTCAAACATATTTTCAAAACTTTTTTGATTTTTTGGATTAATAACTTTAAACAATATTTTCGGAAATTGCATAACTCACTTGGGTTCAGGCGAGGGGGTCAGAAAGAGCGCCCCAGTAAATTTTCCAAAAATTCTCAATTGGCTGCTGAGAGTTCGTTGACTGACAATCATACTTTAATGCATTATGCCAAGAAGACGAATAATTTTTCAATATTTTTTCGATGTTTTCTTTCGCTTTCGCTCGTTTATGCTCGTTTTCTCTCGTTTTTCCCTTTTTTTTCAGTGAAAATTAGTTGAAAAAAGTTTCAAATGATTTATTAAAGGTGGGGGGACATGAAAAAAAAATAATGTTCTCGAAATTTCGTTTAAATATGCCTCTCGAGGAGTTGAACGTGTGGGACGAGGATTGAGGGTGAGGCGCCGCTACCGACTGAGCTACACGGGCAAAGAGGAAGCCGCCGCCCGATTCCATACATAAAGGCGAGAGGGACAGCTGTACGCAGAGTGACATTAAGCGTTATACACCGTCACGGTAGAATGCATACTCTGGCCCCAAAAATCCCCCGTAAAATCTCCTGTCCCCCCACCTTTAAGGTGAGAAGTCCAATGAAACGGGCTCGTGCAGTGATGAGTCAAGTGAGCGAACGGAATAAAGCTCGATTTTCGAGGTTTTTTTGAGGTGAGTAACTGAAATATGTAATGTTCCAAACACCAAGCTGAAAATGAATTTCAAGGTTTTAAATTATTAGAAAAAAAATAATCAAAATACCGTCATCAGCTTGAGTTTTATTCTCTGAAAGGTCTTCTTTGTGTCCCACTTTCTTTGCCGATTTCTTTGATTTTGAAGAGTTGTGATCTGATTGAGTGTTATCCAGAGGTAATGAAGGTTGCAGTTTTTTCTCAGGTTTAGTAGAAGATTTAGTTGAAGATTTAGTTGGAGGTTTTTTCGGGACACTGATGACGCCATTTGGTGTGAGCGGCGCGAGTGCATTCTTTCTTCTCAGCTTCTTCTTCTTACACCTCCGAAACACCCAAACACCACCAACAACGAAGATTAGGAGTAGAATCAATGCAATCACGCAGATCAGAGTGGTGTGGCTGAAATTAGAAAGGTTAGAATTAAAGTAAGTCACTTAGGTAGTTGAGGGGAGTATTCGAATTTTTTTGAATTTGGCGCCAGAATGTGGGTGCTTCAGGCATTTTAGTCTTGAAAAAATCTCAACGAAAAATATGAAAGTTGCGGGAATTCTGGTACTTTTTTGGCTCAAATTTTGAATTAACATTTTTTTTTTCGTTTTTTTTTAAATTAAAATTCTGATGTTTTCAAGTTTGCAAATTCTAAAATTCTGAAATTCTGAAGTTCTGCAACTCGAAAATTCGAAAAAATTGTTCTCCAACTTTTTTTTTTGAATACTCAGGTATTCTGAATATTCGAAATTTAGAAAATTTCGGAATTATCCGAATTTCTGAAAATCTGAATACCAAAAGTTCCGAAATTTTTTTTTTCAAAATTTTTTTTTAATTTTTAGAAATTCTGAAATTCATGAAATTCAAGAAACTCACTCAGGTGATTCAGCCGAATTTTGAGTTGTCGAAAGAGCAGAAGAACCAGAAGATCCAGACGGATTCTTGGCAAAACTAGCAAAGAAAGTGTCCAGTGCTGTCAACGTCTTCTTAGAATCATCGAAACTTTTGGAATACCTTGAAAACTCCATTCCAACGAATGCCATCTCATCAACCATTTTCAGAACCTCCTCCAATTTGGCTTTCTTCTGAGTATCCGTCGTTTCCCCGATCAACTTTTCCAACGAAGTTCCAATTTCCAAAAGATCCAAAGACAATCCAGAAACAGCTTTGGCTTTGACAAAAATCTCATGATGATCGATCAGATTCGTGAATTCTGGATTTTTGAGAGACGATTTCCAAGATTCCAAGCCCTGATACATTTCATCAAGAGAGGCTTCCATCATGACCAAGGAGTCCAAATTATCCAAATCTTTTTGATCCAAGGATTTTGAAGTTTTCTTTAGATCATCAACCAATTTCAGTTCTGGAACCATCTTTTGAATCTCCGCCTTCTTTTCAATTGCAGTCTTCATTGCACCGATTCCATGGGTGGCCATTTGAATCACTTCCGAATGAGTCTTCCGATCCTTCAAAAGATCCAAACCATCCGATCCCTTTCCTTTGAGAGAGTTCATGTCGTTTTGGAGTTTCTTTAGATCTGGAGAGATTTTTTCAATCTTCTCAATATACTTCTCCAAGGGATCCAAAGAGCTCGAACTCAGTTTTCCCATATTTCTAGCAAGATCAATCATCCCAATGAGATTTCCAGAATTTTTGACATTTTTCAAGCATCCAAATCCTTCGGATAATGACTTGTAGCTATTTTGATAATCGACAACTTTGCCTACATTATCATGAACAGCTAAAGCGTGGATCTTCAACTCGGACTTTAGATTTTTGATCTTCTCAACCAGACTTTTGATCTTTAAAACTTTTTGATTGAATTTACCGTAATCCTGATAGCTTTTGAACTTGACAAAGGCACTTTGCAAGTCACCAACACTTGATTCAGCAAATCCAATGACATCGGAGAGCATTTGTTGGAATTCTGCGTCCTTTGAAATTTCAATAAGTCCATCAAGCACTGATTTCAAGCCGTCAACTGACTTTTCCATATTTTGTGAACCCGCTTTCAACGAATCCATATCAGCAGTTAGCACCTTTGACACAGGAAGTTTCTTTCGACAGTTTGTAAATTCGTTCGCCACAGTTTCAGCTTCCGTTGGATTGTAATTCGAATTTAAAAGTAGATCAAAAATTGGAATGTTTTGACCTCTGGATCCTTTCAAATTGGCTTGAATTTTCTTTAGATATGACGCTTCGAAGAGTTTCAGACTTTCCAGAGACTTCGGAAATTCGGGAGATTTAATAACTGACTTCACCCAAGGATCATTCAAATCATCAAACATTTTTTCAAATGTCGTTGGATTAAAAGTTTCTCCAGATGACGTCATCAAATCTTCAATTGATTTTAGAGCTTGAATATTTGTATTAGACTTTTGAGAATATTCCCAAATATCCTTGAAATTCTCAAAATTCTTGTTTCTAGCATCAGGATCTACAGTAAACGATTTGGTTTGTTTATTGAATTCTTTGGAAGCATCCGTGGCTTGGAAAATCACTGATAATGGATCCTTGACACTTTTGATACCGAAGACAGTCTTGACGTCTTGATGATCGGAATTCAGAAGTTTCATTTCAGAAGCCAGCGAATTTCCTCGATTTTTTAAAACCGAAAAGTATCCGGTGGCTAAAAGTTTATCCGCAGCGTCATCCAAATTCTTCCTGCCCGTTAGAAATACGAATGCCTCATCCAATTTTCCACAATATTCCAAGAAGCTCTCAACCTTCGGAAGATCGATTTCCTTATCTTTCAAACTCTGGGTTATCTTCTGAATCTCTCCCGACTCCGCCCACTTTTCCACATCACCCAATCCATCAACTTTCTTTCGAATAGCTTCCAGAGCCAGGAAATATTGCTGATTCTTCTCGATATCTGGACTTTTTCTCAGCGATTGGGATACAGTAACCAGAGATTTCAATTCGTTTTCCAGGGCTCCAGAATCTTCGAAAACTTGATTCAGATTCTTGATTTTGAAAATCTCGTCAATGGAAATTTCACCGTCGGTTAATCCTTTTTGAACATAAATTCCATATGTGATTCTTGCGATTTTTTCCATACGATCAACGGAGAGCTGGAGAATTTTATCTGAAAATAATTCTTTGAATTACTGTAAAATCTCTATTAGAAGGGCCGGCCCGTCTATTGGTACAAGAAACTTCTGGATGGCCTTTCTTTGTTTCCGGCCATTTTTTCCGAAAATGTTCATTGAACAATTACCGTAGGTCATGTATTAGAAGGGCCCCTGTAATAGAAGGGCCCCCGTAATAGAAAAGCCCCTCTCATAGACCGGCCCTTCTAATACAGGTTTTACGGTAGATGAATTCTCTAAAATTCATTTTTTTACATATTTCATGAAAATCTATCAATTTCATCGAAATTAGCAAGCTTTTGAGCAAAAAAGAATTTTCCGCCCAGGTTTTTCGAAATTTTAGAAATATTGTTCACTGAAAACCTAAGGAAATTCTCAAATTTTGAAGGGGCCCTCCCCCTCTCGGAGTGCCCTTTTCTTAAAGGGGCCCTTCTAATACTGGTTTTACGGTATATTTCAAAAAAAAAACCAGAAAAAACTTACCACTGGTATCTCGAGAAAACCTGGAGAATCCATAGGATACGAACACCAATATGAACAAGATGCGCATGTCTGAAAAGTTCAGCAATCTTTTCCAGAATTTTCTTTTAAAACTTACTCATTATTTGTTGATATAGCCACTATTCGATTTTTGATTAGCTTCGAAAAGTAGTGGAATAATCGGAAACAGCCAAGTTTTGTGGCTTTTATGGAAAATCGTGGCGCTGACTTTCCAAAAAAAAAATGCCAACAGGTTTTTGGGTTTTCACGTTTTTAAAAGGTCAAGAAATCCTTTTGAGAATTTTAGAAGAACGTGAGGGTTTTTAGGTTCCCAGATATCTTTGGAATTTTCAGATTAGAATATTCCAAAGTTCTGAAATTCTGAGACCTGAAATGTTCAAATTCGGATTTTTCGCTTTTAAAATAACTGTTTTTTTATATCTGAAATTAGTGGGATTTAAAAAATTCAAAAAAAAAACCTAAAATTCTTTTCGAAATCTCCAAATCCTCTGAAAATTCTGGATTGTTCAAAATATTTGGATTTGTGACTATGGAGAAAAAATTAGATTTAGTTATTGAGAAATTTCTAAATATACAAAATTCTGAAATTCTAAAACTTTGAAATTTCAATATTCAAATATTCCACCACTATGAAAGTTCCAAATAGGAATTCAGCGAATCAGAATTGTTAAAAATTCTTAATTTCGGAAAATCTGGAAATCTGGGTTTTTTGAAAATTCTGATCTACCAAAATGCAAAAATGCAGAGACTAGATTACTGTAGAAGTTTTCGTTAGAGCTTTTTTTTTTGAAAATTCTAATAAAATGAAAAATTCTATTCTAAATTCGGTGGAACTGATATTCATTTTTTGTGATTTCTAGAGTGTGTATCTTGTTTCTGTAATCTGCAAACTTTCAATCAGCAACACTTTTCAGTTTTTTAGTTTGGGCTCAAAAGTTGCAAAATTTTTGAGCATTTGAAAATTCTGAAGCTCTGAAAATTCCTCATATTTTCATGTTTAAAAAAATTCCAAATAAAATGCTTTATAAATGTAAAAAAGGTCCAAATAATTGTGTATTAGAATACAGAAAAATATCATTTAATTCAGAAAAAATATTTATATTTTTCGAAAAATATTGAGAAGAATGCAATGAAATCAGCCAGAACGATGGGTTCTCTGAAAATAAAATTTCGACTTTTTCAAAAAAAAATTTTTTTCCACATTTTTTGATTATGCCTATTTAATGTTCCCCCGATTAGTTTAATACTCTCTGAAAATAAATTTTTTAAATTTAATTTTACAATAAAACTCCTAATTACCCCTAATTATCTAACCTGGTTTTACTCATTAAAAAATAAGTAATTACCGAAACTTTTAAAAAATTGAACCCCAATAGGATTATTCTTCCTCCTCCCACATATTGAATTCTTCGAAATTTATATGAAGAAAATTCTGGAAAAGTTAATTGATATTTAATTAGTCACTAATTAGTCACAACAATTATTTCATGCGCCGATAAGAAATGATAAGAACTGCGGATACTACGGTTACAGAAATACCATGCTTTTGATTGCAGCGACTACAGTAATCAAACTACAGTAACCAACACTTTAGAAAACTCAATAGAAAACTACAGTAATCCAATTACACTGTAATTATTACTCTACCTCACCACGGCTACAGAAGTCAAACTACCGTAACCAATACAACCACAGTACTCCACAAAAAGACTGCAGTAATTTCACTACAGTATCACATCACAATTACAGTAAAAAAAACTACAGAACTCCACAAAAACCACAGTAACCAAAAAACAGTAGTAATCCATCCTATGCTATGAACCAAAGATAACACTACAGCATCCATTACAGTAATCCATGCTTTCGACTTTAATGTGAACCATCTACCATCACGTCACAACTACAGTAACCAAACTAACGTACTCCACTAAAAACTGCTTCATGCTTAGTTAAATTACAGTACTACAGTAATCTTTATATTACCATTTCAGGGGACAAAATGAAAGTACACAACTACAGTAATCTCACGATTTTGACCTTAACGACTACAGTGATACAACCACATCACAAATACAGTAACCAAACTACATTATTCCACAAAACAACTACATTAATCCACAAACCTTGCGATTCCAACGGCTGCTCTGTTCCAAATAGATGATAAAGTTATCAATCAAATCCATCGACTCCATTGGCTTCTGATCAACCGTAGTGTATTTTGCGTGGAAATCCAGAAGACGATTGAGATTTTTGAAGCTGTCGGCAGCTTTGAGAACCTCCACCAACGCGTCAATATATTTTGTGGAGTCGGTCCAATCGTGAATTTTGTCCACTTGAATTCCAATGGCATCGATTACAGTATCCCGTTGTTTGAGGCCAGTGAAGAATTGATCAGTAAATTGGCATTTAGCTTCGATTTGTTCCGAACTCTCACTTCCTTCCAACAACATTTTCATTGCCAGAAAAACTTCTTGATAGGAACCGGATACTGTAGAATTAAGCTCTTTAAATGGAGCAATCACTTCGGGTTGGGCTTGTTTATCAATTTCAAATGCAGCACTGATTGATTGGAAGATGTCTCTCCATTTGGAATCTCTGCTCAATTCGCTGCCGCTTATTATATTGTTTAGGATCTTCTTGGGGTCTTGGGTATCCATTATCGATTTTACAGATTTTACATAGCGATGGAAATAGGCAGAATCCACTGAAATACCGGCAATAGTCTCTAGAATGTTTCTATAGAGAATTGCAGTGACATTATCTTCAAGGTTGAGTTCAAATTTCTCATTTAAAATTTCCAGCACCTTATCGTCATCCTGAAGACTGTCGAATAACTTTTTATGCTCTCGAATTCGATATTTATCCCTTGTAACGCTTCGGAGCATCTTCATGAGCAATTCCAAGTCTTCCACACTTTCCAAATCCTTTAAAAATGGGAGCATTGTTCGAATCTTCAACATTTTAGAGGGCGAAAAGATGAGTTGGCCTTCAGGAGCCACGTCATCGAAGAAGGATTCAAAGATGTACGAGTATCCGGGTCTTCCAGTTTCCTCATCCGATCGATTCAGCTTCTTTACAATCTCCATCGCCCAATCTAGCCGTTTATAAAACTTGATATCAGTTGAAACGGCATTTTTGAGCTTGACACATTGTTCCTTTCCATTGTCTAGTCCCATATTGTAAATCAATCGGGCTCCGCCCACTACAGTAGCTCTCACATCATCGACACCCCCGACGCCAGTGTAGAAAGCGTTCTGAGTGGCACTGCTGATCTTTTTGAAGTCTCCAGAATCCAATTTGGCTTTTAGCTGCTCCAGAAGATCAGCGAGGAGCTTAGCGTCCTCTCCGTTTCCTTCATTCAGGGCCTTCAGGTCTTCAACAGAGTTTAAGTCGATTTTTGAGATTTTTTGGAGCCAGGAGGTCTCTTCGGCATCTGTGGTTTGTGTGGCATTTCTGACGGCAAGCTTGACAGCTTTCAGAAGTTTTTGAGTCAATTCTGAGTCTGTTGTTCCCTCCAATTGAGTGTTCAGCTCTTCCAACGATGCATCACCCTCCTTTAACTCGTCTCGTGTACGTCTTAGGGTTCGGATCAGCAGGTGGAAGGTGTCATTGGGGATTTCAGGTTGGGACAGAATGATCTTGTTGATGGTTCCAGATTTCTCGAATCCTCCAGTTAGGTACAATTCGTTGAGGGCTTGATAGAATTCCAAAACGCGGAGACCTTTTAGGCGATACAAGTTGTCAATGGTGGTTTTGGATGGTTCGTCGAATTCGGCGTAGAGGGGGTTTAGGTAGAGTTCTGAAACAAAGAAAAATGGAGAATTTGAAAAATAAGTAAAAGGGGCCGTGGCTTTTTGGACCGGGTATTTTGGTAGATGAAAGGTTTTTTTTTTCATAAAAGGTTTTGCAATTGTGGACTTTTTATATTTAAAAAAATTTCTTTTTCAACTTTTCGAAATTTTCAAAAAATAGAAAATCAAGAATTCTAAAAAATCTGAATTTTGCAAATTTTCAAAAAATTCCAAGTTTTACAAATTTCTAAATTTTGAGTTTTCCCGAAAAATCCTAGAAACTCTGAAATTTCAAACAAATAATTTCAAAAAATTCCGAATTTCTTGGAATTTCAAAAGGTACGAAAAAAAGTTTAAATATTCAAAAAATTGGAAAAAATGTCGAAATTTCGAATAAAAATCCAAAAAATCATGATTTTCAAAAATTTTTAAAGTTTTGCAATATCCGAAGATTTCGAAAAGTTGTAAAATTTTCAAAACAGAATTTTCAAAAAACTCCGAGTTTAGCAAATTTTTATTTTTTAGAATTTTTCGGAAATTTTGTGAGATTTCTAAACTTTTGAGTTATGGAATTATTTTTTGAAAATCTATCATGTATCTGAAATTCCTTCAATTAATTGATTATCTTAATTATCAACATGTTCTGAGTACAGTAATCCGATTCACTTCTTATCTAGATTTGTCCCAGTTTCTTACCGTAATCTCTAATGCTTCCTCTTCCATTTTTTTTCAATTTGTATTTTCGCTTATCCTCCTTCCAAAAACTATACAATTCTCTTTTTTTTCTATACAAAATAAATTCCATATTATTATAATATTGTTTTCTTATTTTTTTCCCTCGAAACCCAAAGAAATGATCTCAATTTGTGTCAAAAAAAAACAGCAAAAAAACACCGGTGGCTTTTTTTCTATATTTTTTTCCAGAAATAATTTTTAGAGACCATTAAGACCGCCATGTAGTTCTAGACTTCAATGAGGTCTATAGAAATGTATCAAAACGACATCACAATGGGATACTAATGGAACAACACTATAAAAATTACTCAGTTCTTTGGTGTCAATTGTGACGGAAGCAGAAAACAAGCAGCAAAAGCGAAATACCTGCACCGGGGGTCGAACCTATGTGGTCCCCCAAAAGAGTAGAACGCCAGCCGCGCTCACAACCTTTGCGCTACAACGCACACTTGAAGATTTACACCACTTGTCATACAAGAAAGAGGCGCCGCGCGCCAGCGCGCAGTGGTCAGTGACGTCACAGGTGGTGTGAGCAAAATCAAAAAAATTTGAACCTCAAATTTCAGAATTTCAGACACAAACTTTGTCTGGGTCATTGAGAAACTTCTCATGACATTTTTCTGTTGGCATTTTGAGATAATTTCATTTCAGACAAACAGCTCTAGACAGCATAATTATTATGGGAGCCAGAAAACGAAAAAAAAAACTCAGAAAAAAAGAAAAAAAAAGTACAGTAATCCCAAAAACTTACTACGCGAATGAAGCGATGCCAGAGTAGTGGTGTCTCGTCGAGATTTGGAACGTTTTCCGGGTACAGCAGCGGCCAAGCCGATGAGAAGGAAGATTAGGAGGACTGCAAAAGTTACAGTAATCCTTTTAAAGGAACTACAGTGATCTGAGCTACAGTAATCCTAGAGCATTTTGAAGAAACTATTTATATTCTTTTTTTTTTTGAAATTTCTGAATTTTTGTGTTTTGTTGAAATTCAGAAAATCAAAAATTCAGAAATTGTAATTTCCAATTGTTCATCTACCTACAGTAACCTAATAGTATCCAAAGGAACTACAGTAATCCCTTCATCTACAGTAATCTCTTCTTTTACATTATAGCAACTTGTTACAGTAATGGGGCCTACAGTAATCCTAAAGGTACCTTAAAGGGACCTTTAAAAAACTTGATCTTCAAAAAAACTACAGTAAGCTAGGCTACAGTAATTCTGGAGTATTTTAAAAAATCTACAGTCATCTTGAAAGAACCTTGTATGAACTTTGAATAATCCTTAAAGGAACATTAAGGCAACTTAATCTTGGAGAAACTACACTAATCTTTACTACAGTACTCCTAGAGGATTTTAAAGCAACTACAGTAACCCCTTCCTTTACAGCAATCTTAAAGCAGTTTACTACGACGATCCTAAACTACAGTAACCCCTTTTCAAGAAAACTAATCCTGGCTACAGTAATTCTTTAGAATCTTGATCGAACTACAGTAATCCCTTCTCTTGTGTTTTACAATCTAAGCTACATTAATCCTAAAGGAAGCTAGAGCGAACTTCAAGGAACATTGAAGGAACTTAATCTAAATGAAACTACAGTAATCGTATTGCTTTTTAGAAACTACAGCGTTCCGATAGTGAGCTCTTATACAATCTTAAAGAAACTACAGTAACCCTCTTTGACTCACCTCGCATATTTCTTCGCTCAGAATCTCTCAGAATGCGTCGACGTCGTCGTCTTCAACACAAGTTATTCTGAAGATATGAAATAAGTCTTTTATACTCCACATCTCCGTAGGCGTACAAAAAAAAAGGGTGTCTCAGAAAAAAAAGAGTTCAATTCAAAAATTCTATCCTTATAATACTTCAGTGGAACGGGGGAAAAAAGAAATGAAAAGAGTTTTTCTAGACAGCGGCTCATTAGGCACTCTTCAATGATCAATTATTCATCTGAATTTTTTACGCTCTGTCGACTCCGTGGCGCAGGCGGCCGACCACCATGCAGAAGGCTGTGGGTTCGTACCTTCGCAGGAGCATTGTTGTTTTTTTCTTTTTTTGAATTGGAATGAAAAGGATTTGTTTTGAAAATAAGAAATTGAAAAGTTAGGCCAAAACTTAAAAACCGAGAAAAGGGATGCATAAAGATGAGCCGCTTCAACAATTTCCCACCATTATCAAAGAAATAATGGGCAAACAAACTGGTTTTTTGAACTTTCTTCCCATTTTTGAATTCAAAGGAAAATGAATTTATGGGGTTGGGTTCCGTTTCTTTGAACTTTTTTGAATTTTGTGATTTTTGAACATTTGGAAATTTTTTTGGAAAAAATTTTGCCCTGTCATCGTTCCCTCATTTGGTGGGCGCTGCTGCACCCTTCTCTACGCCTTTTGCACCTATAGGCTGAATTGGCCATGTGGCGCATCCGGCAGGCTGCATCCGGCAAGTTAGGCCAAAACTTAAAAACCGAGAAAAGGGATGCATAAAGAACAGTTATAATGAGGTATATCAAGAACAGAAAAAGTGGGCGGAGCCATTCATGTGGAATAAAAAGTGGATCAATAAATTGGCAGTCTCGGCGGGACATCAAGAAGAGCACATCAAGAAGAGAATTTTTGAGAGGGGCGGAGTTTAGAGAAACTTTAAGTTCAAAGATTGAGATTTGAGCAGCTAGGCCACGAAACGAAGAAAGTTGAGCCATCGAGGGAAGTTAGGCCATGATTTAGAAAGTTAGGCCATTGAATGGAAAGCTAGACCATGCCAAAAAAAGTTCTAAAATTCTAAAATTACAAAATTCTTAAATTCCAGAAAATTCTAAAATTCTAAAATTCCAGAAAATTATAAAATCCTAAAATTCCAGAAAATTCTAAAATTCCAGAAAATTCAAAAATTCCAGAAAACTCTGAAATTCTAAAATTCCAGAAAATTATAAAATTCTAAAATTCCAGAAAATTATAAAATCCTAAAATTCCAGAAAATTCTAAAATTCTAAAATTCCAGAAAATTATAAAATTCTAAAATTCCAGAAAATTATAAAATCCTAAAATTCCAGAAAATTCTAAAATTCCAAAATTCCAGAAAATTCTAAAATTCGAGAAAATTCTAAAATTCTAAAATTCGAGAAAATTCTAAAATTCTAAAATTCGAGAAAATTCTAAAATTCTAAAATTCGAGAAAATTCTAAAATTCCAGAAAATTCTAAATTTCTAAAATTCGAGAAAGTTCTAAAATTCTAAAGTTCCAGAAAATTCTAAAATTCCAGAAAATTCTAAAATTCGAGAAAATTATAAAATTCCAGAAAATTCTAAAATTCTAAAATTCCAGAAAATTCTAAAATTCGAGAAAATTCTAAAATTCTAAAATTCGAGAAAATTCTAAAATTCTAAAATTCGAGAAAATTCTAAAATTCTAAAATTCGAGAAAATTCTAAAATTCTAAAATTCTAAATTTCTAAAATTCGAGAAAGTTCTAAAATTCTAAAGTTCCAGAAAATTCTAAAATTCCAGAAAATTCTAAAATTCGAGAAAATTATAAAATTTGAGAAAATTCTAAAATTCTAAAATTCCAGAAAATTCTAAAATTCTAAAATTCCAGAAAATTCTAAAATTCCAGAAAATTCTAAAATTCCAGAAAATTATAAAATTCTAAAATTCCAGAAAATTCTGAAATCCTAAAATTCCAGAAAATTCTAAAATTCTAAAATTCTAAAATTCTAAAATTCTAAAATTCTGTGGTTTTCAAGAAATCAAAATTTTCGCTTTTAAAGGCTCTCCGTTTCCCATGACCCGGAAAACAAACTTTCAAAAAATGAGCAATTATTTGTTGAAATTTATGAGCCGCTTCAACAATTTCCCACCATTATCAAAGAAATAATGGGCAAACAAACTGGTTTTTTGAACTTTCTTCCCATTTTTGAATTCAAAGGAAAATGAATTTATGGGGTTGGGTTCCGTTTCCTTGAACTTTTTTGAATTTTGTGATTTTTGAACATTTGGAAATTTTTTTGGAAAAATTTTTTGCCCTGCCATCGCTCCCTCATTTGGTGGGCGCTGCTGCACCCTTCTCTACGCCTTTTGCACCTATAAGCTGAATTGGCCATGTGGCGCATCCGGCAGGGTGGCTGCTCACCACGCGGAAGGTCGCAGGTTCGCGTCCGCCCGAGAACATCTTTGCTTTTTTTTTTGAGTTGAAATGAAAAAGATTTATTAGAAAAATGAAAAAAAAGAAAATTGAGAGGAAGAAGAAGACGTTCATCAACATGTGTGGCTTGCGAATCTCTGAAAACGATACAAAATATTATAGTTTTTAGGGGAATGGGAAGAAGAAAAAAAAGGGAAATACAAAAAACAAAATTTTTGTTTTTAGGTATATGAAGTCATGCACGTCTTCTGATTAAACGAGGAAAAACAAAAAAGAAGAAGAAGAAGCTGAGATTTTTATTTTGTCACATGGGATCCCATGGGGTGGGCGGAAAATGGAAATTTCGAGAAAATGAATTTGTTTTTTAGAAAACAAAAATTACTTTTTGGACCATCAAAAATCAGAATTTCGAAAAAAATTTTCTAGAAAATTCGAAAATTCGAAAATTCTAAAATCAAAAGGATCAATTTTTCCAGACGGTTTTCTTATTCGGGATGAAAAAAAAGAATAAATATTCAATTTTTTCGAAAAATTAATATTCAAATAGAAAATTTCGGGGTTTGTGTCTGGAGAGCAAACTCTCAGAGTTCAGAAAATGAAAATTTTTTTTTTAATTCAGAAATTCAGAAAGTTGAACATTTTATAATTTCCAACTTTTTTCAACTATGTACAGTAACCACATGGCATTGTAAAGGAGCTACAGTAAGCTTGTTTACAGTAATCCTATAAAATGTAAATGTGTTATAACTACAGTAATTCATTCATCTTCAACTACCGTAAAACCTCTATAGAACGACACTCGGACCCTCCACTTTGAGCCTATATATTTCACTTCTTTTGAAAGATATCAAAAAGTGGTTAATTAGTAAAATGTTTATCAGGATATCAGCAACATTTTACTAGTCAGCCACTTTTTGATATAAAATTTAAATGTGTTATAACTACAGTAATTCATTCATCTTCAACTATCTCATATCAGCTGAATACAAGTATTCTGAGTTACAGTAATCCTATAAAACTTTCAAGGAACTGCAGTAATCCTAAATGAACCTNTGGGATACCTTGACGGAACCTCAAAGGAACTAAAAATTCATAGTTTTTCAAACGTCCCGCATTTTCAGAATTTTCTGGAATTTTAAGATTTTTTGAAAATTCAATGGATTTCCAACAACAGTGAGTGGAACTTAAGCTTAAAATTTCCTTTTTTTTAGTGAATTCTGAATTTCTGAACTTTCAGTTTTCAATTTACAGATTTGTCAAAAAAAATTATCGAAAACCATCAATATCTTAGAATCTTAATTTTTTTATTTTTCAGATTTCTCAAAAACTACAAAATCTTAAAAAGCCCTACCTCTAATTCCATCCAGTCGATCCGAAATACACCAGCATATCCGCAATATGCAAAGCCGATATCGTTGCGTTTGGATTGGTTGTGTAGGCCCCATGGAATGCTATCATATCACCGAGAGCTTGGCGGGATCCAGAAGCTTTGAGCAATTGAATCAGAGCATTCACAAAGGTAACATCCTTGTTTTGTCGTCGAATTTCGTCAGTGTTCACTCCAAAAGCCTCCACAACCGAGGTGACGTCTTCTAACCCATTGAAGAATTGTTCGACGAATTTGCATGTGTATTTAGAAGTTTCGGGAAACTCTAAAATCGTTTGCATTGCCAGAAAGACTTCTTTATAGCTTCCAGTTGTTCCAATCATTGATTCCAGGCCTTTAAATGTATCTAGTGGCCCCACTGACATGATGTAAACGTGCTCCAGCGAATCATAAACATCCAACCATAATCCGTCTCTAGACAGCTTGGTTAGCTGAATCATGTTGTCGATGTTGTTGGTCTTCAGAATTGCGTTAATCGATTTTGCGTAATCCATTAAGTCTTCGTCAAATCTACACAGACCATTTATGTTCCGAAGGACCTCTCGAATCTGCAGTCCTCTGGGTAGGGATTTGGCAAAACCACCAAAATACAATCTGAGATTATTCATAAAAAAGTGATCATCATTAAGTCTCTCAACATCTGTCCGGAATTTGCTCAATGGCGTTTGTCGATTGACAATATATTGAATGATTGGGAGCAATTCTTCGGCCACTGATTTTTGGATAGTGTCAAAAAGTTTGAGCATAAGTTCACGACTGTGGAATCTTGAAGAACGGAATAGTTGAATGTTTCCTAGGCTGTTTCCTTCGAAATACATATCGAAGAGGTATTAATAGCCGGGTCTGCCTTGAGGGCTTCCAGTCTCATTGAGTTTCAGAAGAACTTGAATTGCACTATTCAGACTTTCATAGGTCTCAGGGAACACTCCATTCAGCTTTACGACTTCTTCACATTTCTTTACGGCATTCTCCACTGATCTGAAAATTCGAAAATTAACTTTTTAGAACTTTTGTGTTTTCAAATCCAAACTACAGTAATCAACAGCCCTACAGTACTACGAATACAACAATTGCAAGTTTTTGGCGTAACAATCCAAACTACAGTACCTTATCACGACTGTAGTAACCAAACTACAGTAATCCACATGATCGTACAATATTCTTACATTGCTACGAATACAGTAATCCCAGGTTTCTGGCTGCTACAGTAACCCTGCCCCAGTAACCAATACAAATACTTCTCATAAACGTCCTATTCTATGAACTAAAGATAATCCAATAACATTCACTAGAGTAATCCTATATGCACAACTACAATACTCCACAAATACTACAGTAACCAATCAAAGTCCAGTAACCCATTTTCTATGAACCAAAGATAATCCTACAACGAACGACTACAGTCATCCCATGCCGCAACCGTAATCATAGTACATTTTGTTAGTTACAGTAATCTCATTCTTTTGACAAACTCAAACTAAAAATAACATCACAACTACAGTAACCAAACTACATTACTCCACAAAAAACTACAATATTTGGAATTTGAGAACTTTAAAGAGTTCAATATTTCCAATTTTCAGAATTCAGAGTTTTCAATTTCAGAACGTACCCTCCAAGATTCTTAATCAATCTCGCTCCAGCGATAAATGCATTTTTGGCCTTTTCCAGTTCTTCGATTCCAGATGATTTCATTGTTTCAATGAATTTAGCCTTTGCCTGCTCATTATTAATTGCCGACCAGATTTCAGACTTCTCAGCGTTAGATCTCGAATTTCGATCTTTCTTTTCTGATTTAGGGAAATCAAGTGAGTCATTGAGGTCCGCATGGACCAGACGATTTAACAAAGTGTCCTCTTTCGCGGCAGCTGTGGCATTCTCAAATGCATTTTGGATTCCGCTGAGCAATTTGAATCCGATATCGGCATTGGAAATCGCAGCGTTTAGACGATTCTTGTAGAGTTTGAAGTACTTTTCATCCTTGAGGCACATTCCAGATTTGGTTTTCCATGGTTGAGCTTCAAGAATATCTCCAATCAGGTTGAAATTTTCAGGGCCAATAGTGTGGTGAAGAATAAGGAGGGGCTCTGTCCAATTAGCTTGGTATGGCTCATTAGAGAGCTCCAGAGATGTCCAATCATTGATCGCTTTTCGAAGAAATGTTCCATTTGCATAACCAACTCTTGGATAGCCGTTATCTTGCAGATAGACACCCAGATCTCTGATGGAATACGCCACATTTTTTGAATTCTCAGATTGTTCCAGAATCATTGAAACGAGCTTGATTAGCCAAGGTTCATGGATTAGTGCAACCGGTTCGTTCATCTCAATCATTCCTTCGATTCTTCTAAAATACACATCTCCATTTTTGACGTCTCCAAACGAATTTTCAAGTGCTCGAATTAATTCTAGCCATTGGAAATCTGGAATTATAGTTTGTCCCAAAATGACACCGTTGAATAAGACATGTTTGTCGAATCCATTTGTTAGGTAAAGTTCTCGGAGTGCCTTGTAGAATGAGACAATTGTGCTGTTTCCTTTGAATTTTTGGAGAGCTTCAATGGCCGTGGCGTTGGGGATTGCTGGAAAAATACAGAAAGTTCAACATTTTCAGCTAGTTCCCGCTAGTTTCAATATGTTTTTCATCTTTTCCAAGTTTTGAGCTTCAAATTGAGCAAAAACACGACTAGTCTAGCTCAATTTTGAGTTTTGATCTATCAACCGCGACGCGACCGCAACGCAATGGTCAAAATTAAAAGTGGTCATAAACTAGTCGTGTTTGGGCTTATTTTAAAGCTCACAGCGTTATAAATCATACGAAAGTAAATTCAAACCTCAAAAATCGAAATCAGAAAGCTCTGGCTAATCAAATTTCTGAACACATTTTTTCAGAAAACTTGAAACGATGAAAATCTTGAATATTTTCCACTTTTTGCCTGTTTCTGTGTTGTTTTCACACTATTAAAGTCTTGAGCTTCAAAATGAGCCCAAACACGACTAGTTTCGCACAATGTTGAGTTTTGATCTACCGACTGCAACGCGACCGCAACGCACTAGTCAGAATTGAAAGTGTTCCGAAATTAGTCGTGTTTAGGCTCATTTCAAAGCTCAAAACGATACAAATTGTTCGAGAGTAATCCCCAACCTAGAAAATCAAGAATGACGACATTAACTAAGGGAATTATCTCAAAAACTAGTACTGCTATTGAAAATTGGCTAATTTTTTAGTTTTCTTGTTTTTTCCTCCAAACTACACATTAAACAAATTAAAACGAGCTATTTTGAAGATAGCAACGTCGTTTTGAAGTTTTGAGAAACGGAGAAAAGCAGACACTTGCGTTGTCTGCGTCTCCCTCTTTCACAAGTGGCACCGAGTGTCTCTAACTAGTCCTCACTTCAATTTGCTATATCTCCGCTGGGAACAAAGCTACCAAAAAGTTGTAAACCAACAAAATGTGTAAAATTTTAAGATCTTTATTTTGTTAGTTGACCGTTTTTCAGTAGCTTAATTGGTTCCTGAGATATAACATGAAAAGAAAGTTAACTTCAAATTGCTATATCTTAACTAGGATTAAATCTACAAAAAATTGGTCAACTAACAAAACGTGTAAAATTTTAAGTTCTACATTTTTGTAGTTTACAACTTTTTTGAACCTCTAGCGGTTTTTAAGATATTAAGAAGGTATTAATGCTTACCTGAAACATCTCCTCCTTCATGGAACACATCGCTCTTGTTGGCGCCTGGAAGAGCTGAAAAGATCTTGCTTATTTTCTTTATTTACAGAATTTTTATTCAAAATTTACCAGTTTGTCCGAAAATTCCAATCGATCCAATTGCCAGGAGGCATATAAGGAAACAGATGTCAGGAGCTGGAAATTTAAAAAAAAGTTCTGAAAATTCAGATTTTTCAACTTACCTCGTGCCATTTCAATGGAAAACCAAATATAAAACAATGGAGGAATACGGTCTCCTTATAAAGGATTCTTGGCTCCCATTGAATTTACATATATGCTAATATTTTATTCCTTTTTACTGAATTTATATTTTCTTGAGAAAGTGGGAAGTTTGCAGAATTTGGTTTCTTTTGTTCTTTTGGTTTGGGAGTGTCCAAAGTATAAAAAATACAAATTTTCTGATTTTTATGAAATTTTTAGATTTTTCTCTAATTTTGAATTCCCGCCACATGCTTCCTCCCATTTAGCTTCGAAAGCGAAGAAGCGCCTACCACTTAACTGGCTTCCGCGCATATGACTATCGTTGCCGCGGTGGTGTCGGGGAAGTGGTGCACGCACAGGTAAAGGGGGACTGCCGAAAAACTGGTAAATGACAGTTGAAGAGGCGCAAACTGGCGAATGACTGCTAGTTGGCAGCCAAAGGAGAACTGACGGGCCGTCGACGGTCCGTCGACGGACAGTCGGTACCGATTGGAAAACATACTTGATGGTTCTGATTGGAAATCATGCAGAAAACAATTTCTCATACTCCCACTAGATTATAGAATGTTGATAGAATCTTATTTTCCTCAAATATGACCACCTCAAAAAATAGGTTGTTGAACGACTGCTAAATGACATTCGAAGAGGCGCTGACTGGCCAACGACCGGTGGTTGGTGGTCCAAATTTTTTCAGAATGGAAAATTTTGTTGAAAAAATAGTTCTCTCTAAAAACATCATAAAAGTCATAGAGGTGTCTGGGAAGCTAAAAAATGCGTTATTAGAAGCATTTCTATATCAATTAGGATTTGAGGCGCGGTTGGTGAAAAACTGCTAAATGACAGTCGAATAGGCGCTGACTGGTTGATGGCGGCTGAATAAAAAAATATGTTTGAAAATTCCTTGGTATATATCTAGAAGCATGTGTTAGCATTTTCGTGTTCCAAGATCTTTACTCGAGTTGTCATTGCATGATAAAAATAATATATTTATTTGCAATGCATGGGGGGAAATCTATAGATAATTTGGCAAGAAATGGGACCTGTACAAATAAAAAAGTAAAATGACCAGACTTTTGTGGTCCACTGCCAGAGACAGTGACACAATTGGTTCGACGTCGAAGACAAGAGAGAAAACGATGAAGAGTTCAACGAATGTGAGGAATTAGAAACTGTGCACCTAAATGTCAATAGAAAGAACATTGACTTAATACTAAGTCTTTATTAATTATAATTATAGAGAAAAGGTTAGCGAAAGATGACTTAAGGCCATCTCAAAGATAAGAGAGAATTAATGTGACATGTTTGAGCAGGTGACTTGAACTTGGCGCCGGAGAAGCGTGTTATTGGTGGAGTGTACGCACGAGACGCTTAAAACTGGTGACGTTGGCGGGAGTTTGAATGCAGGCCGTTGGGGTGTAAAAGATCTGAAGAACCCTGAAAGAACATTCCTCATTTGAGATTAAAGACTCGTGGAATATGTGATATTCCACGACACAGACGGACCGACTAGAGTCATGTAGGTCAAGTGGGAGGGATCAGAATATCATAAGGAATCGCTCCTACTCGCTTAGCAAACGCCACCGGACTGAGCTTAGAATTTATCACCTTACATACACGGTTCCACATAGAACATAATCAATCGTTCAGGACACATGTTCTCGGTCATATTTTTCAATTTGCTTAAGATTTCCGACAAAATTTGTTTTTAATTTTGTACAATTTGTGTCTGGATGTGCTATTTTTTCCGTTTTTCTTCAAAAATCACAACAATTCGTTTTTAAATACTGTTTTATAACTGCCGAGTTTCAAAATTTCGGTTATAGAGATTTGCAACGACACTCCGAAATCCCGGCTGCGCCTTGTTTAGCGGCACAAGACTACTAATTTTTCGTCTTTTTTTCAGTTTCTTTCGCTTTTCGAAGTGTTCTCTTATTGAAATTCAGTATTTTTCGCTTAATTTATCTAACTACTGGCATAAAGAAGCACTGAAAAGCTTTGCGTCCTTTCGCTCTGCGCGTTTTTAGTTGAAAACGCAGAAAAAATTGGCGAAAACTCCTTGCGATGAAAGTTTCGAAAGTTTCGCTATTTTTTGCTTCGGAACGTTACAAATGCAGCCTTTCAGGAGTTTTTATATGGTGAGTTGGAAAGTTTTTATACGTTCCGAAGCAAAAACTATCGTAAACTCTGAAATGGTTCATGCGTTGTCGAAAATTCACCTCGCCGATACTTCATAGGTGTGACGTTTTGCAAGTGCATGTTTGGAAAGTAACAACTTTGCAAGGTTCGCACAAAAATTAATACGAAAATCAGTTTTTGCTGTTTCTGACTCGTTTTTTAAATTTCACATGCGAAACGTCGCTCTTTTGAAGTCTGTTTTAAAAATGCCGCAGAGCCTAAAAATCTAAAGATTTTTTACTTGTCAATTTTTAGTGTTGCGAACGCATCAATTTTACTTATTTTGAACGTACATATAAGTGAAAAATACTGTTCAATGAGAGAAATGTACATACCGAGCAAGAGAGNNAGGAGGA